CACGTGATCCAGTGCCACCACCGCTGGGGCAATTACCAGCCAGTCGCCTCCTATCTCATGCGGCCTCACACCCGCTCGAACGCCGCGCTCTCGCCATAGCTCGAGGGGAACTCGGCACCCAGCACGTACGACCGCCGTAATCGAGAACAGAGGTACCTAAGGTTACAAGCACACACAGCGCCACGGCCATGTTGCGCTGCCCGATCTGCATCCTCGTCAACCAGTAGCCGTTTCGTTTTCTGCCTATTTACCCCGCCTCGCGAGCGAACCGATATGAGGATGAAGTATTCGAAGTGCAGTTGGGCTTCGGCGCCACCGGTGCCCCTCATCTTTGTCCTCTGGCTGGGCTGCCAGTCGCCATCAGACCTGTCATGGCACGGCAGGCCCTCTTGGGCTTGCTGGTCCTCGGACCTCCTAGGAGGGGCGGTCACGTGACTGTAGTGGTCCGTGCATCGATTGGCCGCACAGAAAACCCTGCCAATCAATCCCGGTGCGGGGCACCGTGATTCCTTCCTGTTCCCTAGCTTTAGATAGCCAATACAACCCTGCGGGCACATCGCAGCCTCGTCTCTTTGCCCAATACGGAAATCGTGACAAGACCTCCCCTCCTCGCTCAGCTGCACGTCGATTGTCCCACCCTCGAGGTCGCCGACTTAGTCCCCGATCAACCTATGCCCCCCTTGGAGCCTTCCGGTTCAGCCCTAAGTCCTTTCTAAGCAGATTCATCGGCTCCGCTGTAAATACCTGGTTAGGTCTTCCCCGGATCTGTCTTCACTTCCACGTCTATTTCATTTTTTTGTAATTGGAGGGAGGATGGCGCGTGAGATGCATGGTACTTTCAGCTGTCCTCCAGCAAGCCACCCACGCCAACTTCCATCCAGTCAAGCTCCGAAAAGCCTTGTGCCCTCAGCCAATAGTCGGAGTGGTCGTTTAGGCGGCCCCTTTCACCCAATACTCGGTCGACACATTTGAGGGGGGCATCATGCAGCCTGACCTAAACTGCGCGCCGCCCCCAACACCCCTTAAAGTGGGAAATCAGAGGCCGTTTCTTCCCCATTTCATTTCTCTGTCCTCTGCTATTTTTCCACTTTTTGTTGCTGCCCATTCTCGGCTTTTCTTCGCTGTTATTGTCGCGATCAAGCTTGTCTACCTACGTTCCTGCATTTCGCCTGTCGCGCTCGCACGTCACTTTCTTTTTCCGAATCCTATCCCGTTTCTTTTCTTTCCTATCTCTTCTCTCTTCTTCTTTTCCCTACCTCCCTTCCTTTTTCGGCCTTTGTGTTTCCCTCATTTTTCTGCATCCACCCCCATTTTTTCCTTCATCCCTTTTTCGTTTCCTGTCCCGTCTCGCTATTACCTCTGTGCCTTCGACTCCTCCAACCTTTGGCCTCCTTTAGGTCTGATCTCGTCCCTACTCATCCTCCCTTTCCGAATGCGTCATTTTCTGCCATGGATCCACGATCCGACTCAAATGCGCCATCTGGCATTGCTCCACCGGCCGACCGCAACGGCTTTCACATAGCCATCATCTGTGCCCTAGCCTTCGAATCCGACCCCGTCATTCTCCTCCTCGACAAAGTTCACGATGTTAAGTACGGACGCGCGACAGGCGACCCCAATACCTACAAGACAGGCAGCGTCGGTGGCCATGATATCGTTCTCCTCGTGCTCCCCGGCATGGGAAAGGAGGCTGCGGCCGCATGCTCGAGGAGCCTGCTATCGAGCTTTCCCAATGTCAAGCTCGGCTTGATAGTCGGCGTCTGCGGCGGCCTCCCGAACATCGACGGCTCGGACGTCTTCTTGGGTGATGTCGTCATCAGCACAAGCATCATCAACTACGACCTCGGCAGGCAGTACACAGACCATTTCGAGGTCAAGTCCGCCGTCGAGGACAGCCTCGGACGGGCCAACTACGACATCCGCGGCTTGCTTGCCCTGTTCAAGACGGAGCACGACCTCGAGCTTCTGCAGGAGAGAGCGTCGACGAACTTGGCGGGACTGCAAGAGGCCGCCCGCAAGAAGAAACGGCGAACCCGGTAAACCCGCCACCGGATACCTCCGACAGGCTGTTCCGTCCCGACTACGAGCATATCCACCGCAGACAACAGTGCGACGTCTGCAGCCAGGGGCATTTCTGCGAGCCGGCGTCCACACTACCATGCGACGAGGTCGGATGTGACGCCTCTCTCTGCGAACCAAGGCTGAACCGTGAAGAGGAGCGGCCCGTCGAGCATGTGCCCCAAATCCTCATGGGTAAAGTGGCCTCTAGTGATGCTGTGATGAAGTCCGGCCTGCAGCGTGACCGGATTGCCAGGGCCCATGGCGTGGTCGCCTTCGAGATGGAAGGAGCAGGGGCATGGGACCAGGTCCCCTGCATCGTCATCAAGGGCGTATGTGACTACGCGGACAGCCACAAGAACAAGCAATGGCAGCCCTTTGCTGCGGCAACGGCTGCTTCAGTTGCCGTGGCCATCCTTGACCGATATCAGCTGCCAGACGGCGCCGCAGTGAAGGCGCAGACTGTTGCCGAAGGTGGGCAGCAGCCCTCTGGCGATGCTACCTTCCAGGGTGGAAAGATTTGGGGCGGGAACGTCGTCAAGGGCAACACCGTCAGGCACGCCGGCACTGGGCACGTTTTTCAGGGGAACACAGGAGACATCAAAATCAGTTAGTCAGACTTTATTTTTTCGAAACCAGCTTATCCTACATAGTACTTCAACCCTTTGTCTGTCGTCCTTTTAATCGGGCAAAATTCTTCAACTTCTATCCTATAAATAAGAAACTCTTCCCTGTTCTGTGCCTATCCTACCCCCTTTCCTACACCTTCTCCCTACCTCCCCCTCCCCCCCCCTTTTCCACCCTTTTCTACCCTTTTCCACCCCCCTTTTCCGTCCCCTTTTCGTTCCCCTCTCCTTTCCCTTTGTCTATTCTTCTGTTCCATTAGATCTACTGCGTGAAAAGGCTGACCAGCGGATGCAGATGAATATCACACCGCGCCAGAGACCCCGCCGCAGCCGTTCGCGTCCATCCCCTTTTCCCGCGACGCAGATTTCGTCGACCGCGGCGACATTCTCGCCCAGCTTCGCCAGCGGTGCTCCAAACCAGCCAGCCGTATGGCTCTTGTAGGCTTAGGCGGCATTGGGTATGTGTCGATACACCTTGTTTATACATAGGACGGAAGCAAGCTAACAAAAACAGAAAATCGCAGCTGGCCATCGAATTTGCCCATCGAAAAGCTGCGGAATCAGCCGAAGACTGGATTTTCTGGATCCATGCCGGCACGCAGGCCCGCGTCGAGGAAGGCTTCCGGGCCATTGCCGACATCCTCAAACTGCCGGGTAGGGATCAGCCCAACGCCAACATACCGCAACTTGCATACAGCTGGCTATCCAACGAACAGAACGGCCGATGGACCATCATCCTGGATAGCGCCGACGATAAAGACGTGCTTTACGGGGCAAGCAACAGCCGTGAAGGCAAGCCGCTCGCAAACTACCTCCCACAAAGTCTAAATGGATCTTTCGTGATTACGACGCGCAATCAAGACCTGGCACGAAGGCTTACAGGAAACACCAAAAACATCATCGAGATCGGGCCGATGGTGCTAGCTGATGCGCTTCTCCTTTTGGAGAAGAGACTGGGCTCCTTTTCCGATCTGGACAAAGCCAAAAG